TAATTATACTAGTTATGGAGTTTCGTTCAAATCACAACACATTAAATTATGAGTACCATATTCATTTATTTTGTACGGAGAAACAAACATTTGTAAATACATTGAATACATGTTTAATAATATTATATTGAGTTCTACAACATAGTGTAGTGTAAATCTGACTTAAAGCTATCATACCTACAAGTGTTGATTCCGTGTTATAAATGCAAACACAAAAGTGCTAAAAATAATAATGACCGTAATTCGGTTTAATCAAATACAATGGGTTTATGTAAAATAATTTTAATATCTTCATTGTTATGCATGATCACCTGTATTTCTAAAAATCGAATTTCACGATGCATATAATTTAATATTTAAAATTTAGATTTTATGAGAATCACACTTAATCGACCACGGTACATATTGTTGCAGCAATGGAAAATAAAATACAAAATCTTTTCTTGATATTTTTATGCTTAAAAATGATATAATCTAAATAATTGTGTAGATTTTTATATATAAAACTATGTTTTTAATTCACTCCAATATTAGATGGTAGATTTCAAGAATAAGTATACCTTTAAAAATTATTCATAATTAATTTAATCTAATTAACTATTAATGATATGTACATATAATAGACACTTTCCTTTTGGCAAGTTTCGGTTTAATTAATTATATTTTTATTATTTATCAGCGAACCATATTAAACGACTTCTTACATTTTAGTTTAATATATTTTGAATTAATTTATCATAATTTAGTACTTAATTTACTACGTTTTAAATATCGATTATGTAGAACTACTGTATACGATTCGATATTCAATTAATTATTTAACTCACATAAATTAAATTATAATATATATTTTCTTTAAGCTGACACTTTTCTGTTTCGGTGTGGCCGCCGCCGCCGCCGTTGCCGTCACCGCAACAGCCGCAGTCATGTTAGTGGCCACAGTGGTGTCCATGTGGGTGCTGAGCGCCATGGCCGTCACCGTCCGGCACGGCCGGTCCAGGATGGCCAGGTGGGCGCAACAACAGCACAACGAACAACTGCAACTGCCGGTGGCCAACGGCACGTCGGCGTCGTCGGCGACGGTGGCCACGACCACCGCCGCCGTCGACGGACGCTTGCACGACCCGGGCGGCGGATCGGCCGGGCCGCTGCCATTGCCGCCGTCGCTGGCTTCGGACGAGTTCGGACATCAGCAACAGCACTACCGGCACAAGGCCAACGCGCTGTTACGCATCGTCGAGTCGCAACAGCAGTTGGGCGACAACTGCACCGCCGGCACGGATCTGAACATGGGCGAAGGGGTCGTGGACAGATATGCTCAGGTACCGACTCTTGCTAAGTACTAAACAAGTTAACTTCCACCCCGCTCGTCAACGGTATGTCTGTTTACGAATGATATCCGGTACTGTGATGATTTATGACCGTTTCATGCAGGGCGCATTAAATGTTAATATTTGGCGGGGGGGGGGGGGGATGCAAAATGATTTTGGCGCCCTTGGTATATTTTATGAATATTTATATGAAATTATGAACGACTTCAAAAAAATTTTCCTCGTCGCGCTCGGTATTTTATTTAGTCATTTCCATTTCATATAAATATTATAGTTACGTAAAAATTTTCTTTTTATACTTATAAGTAATCATTGGGGCTACGGACTTCTTGTTCTAAAAAACCTTAAAATATGCATGCATTTATGCGCTAATGAATTACTAAATATGCTATTAAAATACGTATTTAAAAAAATGTATGTATAAATTATAATAAATAATGATATTTGTAGATATTAATTTTTGAGATGATTATTTTCCTTTTTTTTTATATTTGCTTTCATCATCAGTTTTAGTTTAAAACAAAAAAAATAAATAAATCAAACAAATCAAACTTACTCATTCGTATAAATAATTGTCAAAAATGTACTAATATATAATGTTATCAGGAATATAATGAGAAATAACAATAATACACGCAAAGCATATGGCTATATCAGTATGACTAAAAATAGAATTTTATTTCCATAATAGTTATAAAATGATTTTTTTCTGTATAATTTTTCAATAACAAGAAGTATAATGAGTAATGACTGTAACCACTAACAAAATATGCTATTTGAATATTCTTTATATTACCACAAAAGCTCATACACACTACCAAAATGTTGTATATACATATGATTATCTGTATTCTGTATACATGTTTATTAATTATGATCTATTATTATATAATTATTGTCCTTATACTATGAAATAATTTTATATACCTATATAATGTGTATAGTGCATTGTTATAACTTATAATTATTATTATTATTTGATTCTCAACTCAGTATTTTCTATTATATCAAACAATTTGTATGTTTCTTTTTTGACTCAATATAAATAGTAAAAACGCTTATTGTATATACACGAAAAATTAATTTACAAAAAATGTACTGCCTCCAAAAACTTTCCGCCTGTGGCAAATGCTCCTTTAACGCGTCTATCGACACATTTTGTTCTCACTTTTAAGTGACATACTTTTACTACTGTGCATCAGCCTTAATTCGCGTGACCAATTGACTGTGTACCTACCAATACAAAAACTATGAACTTAATTAATTTAATTTTTTTACACGAGTATAACTAATTTCCCATGTAAATAAATATATATATATTAAAAATTTACATAAAAACCTTTAACGTATTTTATGATTGAAATTTAGTTTCTTTTTTTTTTTTTTACATTAATTTAAATCCACAGTATATTATTGACATTTAAACTTTTTTTTTTCAAATATAGTCTACACTTATTAAACCATTACTAATTATAAAAAAAATTAATATTGAAAGACTATTGTAATGATAATTATCCAATTAAATTTAAATATAAAAATATAAACCGCTAAAAAATATTTTTTAACTTATCATACATCGTAAATTATAACAAACGCACGATTCATAGTACATTTAAAACATATATTCTAGTGAGTATAATATATTACGTCAATACAGCTAAATTTATTTTACCCAATAAGTACTCTAATAACACTAAGTATACAAATATAGCTTTTTTTATCGTTAGACACTAAAATAAAAGATCATATATTATATTATAATATTATAGCTGTATATAAATGTTTTGTTTTTTTAAATATTTATAACTATCTTTTAATAGAGAATGAAGATAACATATTATTATAAAACACAATTACATGACGTTTGTGTACACAATTATTATTGACAATCATTCTAATATTTCAAATTAAACTAGTCAGTCTACGAGTATGTATCTTAATATGTAGTTATGTTAGAATAGGGACCTATGAAATAAAGAAAAGTCTATGAGTAGTTAAGCTAACGTGTTACCACTCTATCTACCATTCCCGTCGTCTTATGTATGTATGATAAATTTATGATCTTAATAATATTATTTCTCATTAATATATTTTTTAATTGTTATTCAATAAATCTGTTATACAATTCAATAATAAGGACACTTGATAATACAATATAATTTATATGAATAATTCTGCAGTAGCAGAATTTATCACGATAATAAATAATAAAAAAAAAATAGTTATTAAATTAGTTAATATTTTATCGTGTTCGTCTAATAACCTCTGTTTTACCACATACATATTACTGGAAAATCGCATAGTATTTGACTGGTACTTTATCACTTCCGCAAAAAAATTAACTGTCTACACATTATTATACATCCGTGAAAATAAAACACTTGTCACGTTCAAACATTTAATTTTTTGAATCTTTTTATCTTAATTGAATTATTTTTTAAGTTATAAAATAATGCAGTTAATTAAAAATATTTTATTCATAACCATTTTTATTTTTGTATTAATTCATAGCATACATACCTATTACACGTGTTTTGCATTAAACATTATAAATCAGTTCAAAAATGTTACAAATTATTCTAATAATATTTGATACAAGTATTTTAACTATGGTAAATACTTTTATGTAATTGAAAAATTACCGATTAAAAACATGTGATTTTTTTTCTAATTTGTACATTGCACATAATCCTAGCCAATCGAATATTGTATGATTATCACAATGAAAAATGAAAATAATATTTTGAAAAAACAAGTAAATACTACTAATTGTTACAACCGGTTTGGATGCATCAAACATGAGGATGAGCTTAGGCCTAATATTTTAATGAAATCAAAATAAAAAAACGATAAGTTTAATCAGAAATACTATAATTTATGTTTAAAATGAGAAACTTGAAAACATCAATCTTTTTTCTGATTAACCAATTAATATTCTAGCAAAAAAAAATTACCTAAACTAATCCTCCAAAAATATTTAAAACGAAGTTGCAACTTATTAATTACTATCTACCTATACATTACCCTTTAAATTAAAGTTTAACGTTGGCGGATATATTTTTAAACTTAAGTAATAAAATTGTTATTTTATCAAATGTATATATTTCATTCAACTTAAATTTTTATAAAATAAAAAAACTATAAATGTTACAATTGGCGTTCGCATTATTTTACTATTCTGGTTAATCGTTGAAATTAAGAATCTGAAGAGAACTATCTCTGCAGTTACGCACAACCTACCAAAGTTATGGGTATAAATTAATAACCAAGTCACCCGGGCTTAATTTTAGCATTTGGCATTTCACTTCTTACATAATGGATATGCATGATTTGATTAGTAATAATAGGTAATTAAGTCGTAGTTATTCACAGTGCACATAGCAGGAAAGACATATACTAATAGTATTTCATGAATAACTACTTAAACAAAAACTCGAATATTGTAAATTACTTTCGTTATCTGCAATGCGGTTATACACGTAATTATATACATATGTGGTTACCAACATTAAATATCCAACTACTACAGTTATATGTTTTAATCATATGTCATATAGACTATAGTCATAGTCATCGCTGGTATTTGTTTTATTAGGTATAGGACAACTATTATTTCATCCGGTTAAAATATTTGTGCAGACAGATGAACATTCGTGTTTATCGTATTTACTTGAAATAATATTATAATAGGTTGCTACGAACAGTTGTGACTTCGTAATTTTTTGTTTAAAATAATGTAAAACTTTTAAGATAATGCAATAATAAGATCCATTAAAAACTTTTTAAGTGAAGAATCACTATCATCGATGAAGTCCTTAAACCAAAAATTTTAAATAAGAGTAAGAAAAAATCAAGTACTAAATAAATATTTCCCGGTGAATCGTTAAATGCGTAAATCACAACATAATACAATAACAGTTTGTTCTATTATTAGAGCAAAGGATTTATAGAAGTTAATACTTTTTATATTGATTTTCCAAAATGTAGCCTAATGGTTTAGACATTTGTTCCATGAAACAAGAAGTCAATAGTATTTTTTTTTATATTTCACATATTATATAACCTTTATTTATGTGCTAGTGATTTTTTTTTTTTTTTTTGACGTGTTGGCGTTTATTACACTCCGAATTTGTAATAAACATAATAAAATCTTTTAATTTCATAATAACTTATTTACATATGAATAAATTTACAATAACAAAAAAAAAAAAATGACAACATTTTTTTTTTTTTGATTTTGATCATAATATTATAAATGATTTAACATAAAGTATATATATTAATAAAAATAAAAAACTTAAAATAAAATATACATAAATAATGTGTTAGAGCTTAAAATACTCATAAACCGATACCCCTCACATAGCAAAGTCATTTTGATAATGATTAACCATAATTTATAGTTTTTAATAAATAATTTCAATTATAAAATACAAGATATAGAACAATTTTACAGAACAGACAATTGGATGAAGTTTGATTACCGATAGTATCACATAAAAACATATCACTTGGAATTTTATGAACCCCCAACACACCAGTGAATGGTTAAACATGTTTATACGTATGTTACTATATTAGTGAGAATTTTTAAATATTTCATATATATTTTTAAATTCAGATTAATTTATTAAAAGAAAAAAAAAAAAAAAACAATATACTTCCCTGAATAATATTCAATAAAATATGTGTGCAATACCATCTATTTTTCCCACCCACCTAATAATTTTTAGTTAAAATTATGAACCACCGATATTATTATAGATTCACATATACTACAAGCAAAATTGTATTAATCTTAAACAGTTAATTATCTGATATTGTCATCTAGTAGGTTATAGAATACTTTTCTCAATCGGTATTGTTTCTTCAATTCTTTATTTTTTATTACGATATCTGTGATTAGTGTTATTTTATTATGTTCTAGTTTTCCTTTTTTACACGGAAAACTTTATATTTGAGATTGTTAACCATTGATATTATCTTATCTA